AGCTCGGGAGGGTGAGAGAATTCACCAGAGCCAGAGCAGGGAGCAGAACAGGCAGAAGGACCGAAGTACACTGCTGAGGGGAGCAGCGGGCGGCAGGAGAGGTCTGCTCACCATGTGGGACCCTCACCCGGTGGCCGGGGATCGAACCGGCGCTGCAGATACTGCAGGCAGCTTCGCAACACAGCGCTCAACCACTGCACCACGGGGGAGGCCCAATTTTTTTTTTTTAATTTTATATTTTTTTTACATCATTTTTCATTTGTTCAGTAATTTCTTAATAAACATGCAACCACCAATTGTGCTTTGGGAGACCTCTCGTGGAGGGTAAAAGACCTCTGTTTATACAAAAATCTACATGTGAAATTTTATAATAGCTTTATTCATAATAGCCAAAAATGGAAAACAATTCATAAGTCTTTCAATTGGTGAATCGTTAAACGGACTCTGGTGCATCAATGATATATAGAATGTCATTCACTATGAAGGAGCAAATACAGGTCACAACCTGGTGAATTTTCAGAGAATGATGAATTTTTTTAAAAATCCCCTAATTTACATTGTTTGGCTCCAGTTAAATAACACCTTTGAAATAATACAATTATAGAAATAGTGAACAGGAGGGTGGTTTTCAGAGGTTAAGGAAGAGCTGAGAGTATGAAGGAGTGTGTGTGTGTGTGTGTGTGTGTGTGTGTGTGTAGCAGCTGCTGGAAGTCCTGGATTGTGTCTATATCAATGTGTACACACTGGTGGTGATGATGTACCCTTAGTTTGCCAGATATTAACATTGGGGAGAAATTGGTAAAAGGTTACTGGGTTTCTGTGTATTATTCTTTCCAAATGTGTGCAGACCCACAATTTAAAAAATAGCAAAAATAAAACTAACTGGAAATATTATTCAAATTTGCTAGATGATAACATCAGCATTGATGGAGTGACTCCTTTAAGCAGACTGGGTGACTCTCTATGTGATTGCATGGGGACAATTTCTGTTCCTACAATATATTCCTATGGATAGACAGGTATGAAGAGGATAGATTTGTAAGATATTTATGAATAGTTGTGAACAGTTTTGATTTACTGGATTATGGATGATCTATTATACAAATTTAAACATGTTTACAACATGAATAGAAAATTAAATTTATGCTAAAATAAGCACATTTTACAGGATGTCATGGAAATCAGATTTTGTTTTGGCTTTTAAATAAAAGAATGTATGTAATATGGTTACAAGGCAGAGCATTTAGTGCAATTTATGTCAAAAAGTAAAAGCAGAAGTCAAAAACTACAGATTTCAATAATGAAACACAAAATGCATGTTCTAAGTTGTCGACTGACAACTTTTCAGATGGATGACATGTGCATTATATGTATGAAATCATTTTATTTTTAGACAATTGCAGGCTGCTTAGTGGTTAGTCAAGGAGTTGAATATCATTTATCCTTTATTATTTTACACATATAGCTTTATATTTGTTTGCCAGGCCAAGGAAAATTAAGTAAAAGTAGGCTAACGCTCACCAGAAAGGGGTAAAAAGTAGTAACTCGTCACTGGGTCTAAGGAACATAGTTTAAGAGACTACCAGGTTTTCAAAATATATGTGCTTATATTGGGCATATGTCAAGATGAGTGCCTTTTATTGTTATTATTTTTATATCTGATGTTTCTGTGATGCTAGAAAATACATAGTTTAATAAGAACTGATCTAGAGAAAAGTATCAGTGAGGTAAAGCAGCAAGGGAAAAATCTGATGTTCTCCCTTTACATATTTATTCCACAGATAATGCTATAATAGCTAATTTTTGTCTGGTGTAAATGAAGGGGGAAAAATGACTTTCTGTGTCTTTTCCCCAGCACACATATACCCACATTCATAAGGAAATCTTTAACTGTTGCACTGAAAATTCAGCAAGAAATTAGTTTTAAGGAATGATGTATGAAATAATACTGCATAATGCAACATAAAAGTTTCTGTTTGCTAACTAAAAGGCAATCTTTCTATGTAAAACCTGTAGGCTTATAAAAAATTTTAAAATACTATGAAAGAGCAAGAGATTTTTTTATGTACTAAAATAGCAAAATGTATTTATTTGAAATTTGGGAGCTGTAGAGGACTCGCCTCTTCAAAAAAAAAAAAATTAAAAAACTGAGCTACAGAAATGTAGTATATCATTGCTGCTAATTATATAGTGAGAGATTAGGTAGAAGGGAAAATACATGATAAAGACATGAAAATGATCAATGTTATAAACTCAGTGAATTCTGATCTGAAAACTTTTTTTGGAACAAAGTATCTTTATTTGCAAATGATACAACTACATACATGGAAAATCCATATAAATCCACAAACAACTAGAATTTATCAAGATCATGGTTCTAACTTAATACAAAAACCAATTGTATTCCTTTATGCCAGAAGCAAGCATCTGAAAAATGTAATAAACCTACAATGTAATAAAGTTATTATCCATTCCAAGAAATAAATTTATCAAAAATTATTTATCTTTAACCTGAGTCCTATAAAATACAGTAGAGAAAATTGATCTTTAGAGTCCAAGCAGCCCGCATGGTTAGTAATATAGAAGATGGAAAGTGCCTTCTAAAATTTACATGAATGCAAGAAAACTAGAAAAACCAAATAAGCAAACCAAAACCCAAAATTTAGTATTAATAATTTTGACCATGCAAATGTAAAGTACTTGGACAGACGTAATAAAATATTAAAAAATGTAAAGTGCGTATAAGAGGGAAATGCTACTTCTGAGTCATGCCAAGTGTTTTGTGAACATTAGCCAAGACTGAGGAAGGAATCAAAAATTGTTACAGTTAAACTGGGGAAACTATTAATAATGATAAAAAAGCTATAGGTCAATGGTGATTTAGGGAAATAGGGAGTAATACATATGAACTAGTGCCTCCTCTATTATGAGAATAAATCAATACATATTTCTAAAACTCTAAAAAAGAGGGGGATATAAGATGGAAAATTCCAAATAGAGGATTTGCTGTAAGCACCAAAGCTAAAAGTGAGGAGAGGGGAGACAGAAGATTGCTGCTTTGTTTTATATCATTTTAATCCTTTGTATAAGATACAACTCTAAAAAATACACTAGTTGATAAATTAAAAGCAAATTATTTCACATCAAAATATGAGGTGTAGAATATGGTTCAAAATAAGCACTGTCTATTGTGAAGTTAAAATACACAATAACCAATGAAGTCATCTTGAAATGTAGAGAGCAAGATTTTGATATTTAGGAACATTTGTATACTCCTTTGCGTGTGTGTGTGTGTGTGTGCATTGCACTATAACATGCTTCAGGTGTGTATCATTTTAAATTAACATCTGTATGTAAAATAAGTCTCAAAATATATGTTTTGAAAGATGAGCATGTGAAAGAAAAATCAAGGTGTAGAACTGAAAAAGAAAAGTTTTCTCTATATAAGAACCACCATGAATAGTAGCCCTTTGTAGAATAGATGATTTCTATTTGGAAGTGTCATAAGTATGTTACATGAATCCTCCAGGGACTGAATTTACAGCCTTGTGGTTTTGGAATTTGACTTGAAGTATGTTTTATGTGTGCTAGGATAATGCTGCATTAAATTACAGCTAAAACAATCTTTCCCTATCTCATATTATTTATATAAGATACATTTACTTTTTTTGATGGTTAATAATTTTTAAGATAAAATATAATACACTTGGGACTAGTTATCACTTCAAAAATGTGGTTAGATACACTGAATGTTCATAAACCACATTGTTTTGTGATCTTTTGTCCATGAGCCTAACCTTTGGGTCTGGGGTTAGAATTTCTTTGAAAATAACGGTGTTTGTCATTACCGTTTAGTCATGCATCTCCCTCACCTTTCCTAGTTTTTTTGTTTGTTTGTTTTTACTGTCATCTGTTGCTACTGTATTCTATATGTTCTATTACATTCATAGCTGTGTCCCACAAGACTGGGTAGTTAGGTTAGACACCATTTCAGAGGAAATTGCCAAAATTCAACTCTTTATATATTAAAGGGACAAAATCTGACTGATTTCCGTTAAAAAGCAGTAACTGTTAGTTGATTTATATCTGGTTGGTAATGAAATTGAACTGTTTAATGTCTTAGAAATGTTTTTCTACATTAACCTCATAAATCTGCATTCCCAATCTATCCTTACACTCATCTCCTAAACTAATGTCTCCTGAAATAAAACTATTATATCTATAAACAGAAAATCACTTATGAGGTCTGGAGTTTTAGTTGCTTTTTTTGTTTTTTTTTTTTTTTTTTGGTGGGACCCTCGCCTGTGGCCAGGGTCAAACTGGCACTACAGAGGCTGCAGGCAGCCTTGCAACTCAGTGCTCAACCGCTGCGCCACCAGGGGAGGCCTGAGGTCTGGAGTTTTAAAAGCATAGATACTGTCCTTTGCTTGCTTAAAAAATGTACTATTCTCCTAAAGACGCACAGATGAGGGGTTAAAGTATACGAGTGGAGAGATGAATCGAGAGGCTCTTGGTGATGATGGATGGTAGGTGAAGGCAGAAAGCGTGATGGTGAAAAGTTCTTCATTTCCAAAATAGTTAAGAAACATTAACAGGACTTAATGTTTAATTGAATATGTGTAGGTCAATTAACAGTTTTCTAATTTGAGAATGTGGGAATGATATTGCCATTTGTTGTCTCTGAACAACAACAAAAAAGGACAAATGCAGGAAGGTTTTTTTTTTCTTTTTTTTTTCCCCATGTTACAAGTGGAAGTGAAATGTTTGTTAGCTTTTCGTACCAGATTCAGCCTTAGAACCGTAACAGCTAAGCATTCTTCTCTTGGTCTCTGGCCATGGCAGTTTCAGCAATGGTTTTATTGTTCTTGCAATTAGCAGCAAAGTGACTACTCCTAGTAGCTCATTGCCAAAAAGACTACATAGCTTCTGCTGCTATATCCTTGTGTTGTTCACAGTACTTGTCCTCATGTCTGACCAGTAAACTTCATCTTCTTTCCTAGTTGCCTGAGATACAAGCCACTGTAGGATCTAATCAACACATCGACAACTCAGAGATGCAAAACTAGATTCTTCAGAGGGGAACTTTGACCATCCTGCAACAAAAACAGGTACATACATTTGCTGTCTGCTTTAATAATTTCATTTGAGAAATGCAGTGCAACTGGAGTCTTTCTAAAGTTACTCTGTAAAATCAAGAAATCAGCCTGTCACAAAGCTGACTCTCTTTTGCCGGCCTGCATGCCCGATCATGCCTGTTTCCTTGGGACTGACACATCTCTACCAATGGTGGAACACATGTCATTTTTAAATCTTTATCACCTGGGATGATACAATGCATTACACATCTACATGCCAAAGATAACAGTATACATGTACTGTCTTAATGCTGCATTATTGTTAATATAGAGCTACATTAACTCCTACTCTGTCAAAATTTGGTCTGTAAGGATCACTGAGTATCTTTTAAATGCCACAGACTATTATGCTGATTCTCTGTATTTAGAGTATAATCTAATTGTATCTGATAACAGGGCCAGTCTTACATGCCCTTGTAAGACATTGTAAAGTATGTATGTACTAAGATGAACTGTTGGCAGTGGACCATTAACCACCTTACAGCCCCTCCAAGGGTTTAGGAGGACACTCTTCAAAACAATTGCAAAGAGAAATTCACAGAGTATATATAAATGGGAGTAGTACTCAGTCATGCTTCATTGGAGGGAGAGGTGATGGTAGGTATGGATAGACACCTGACCTATGGTTAAAAGATGATGAAGGTGATCAAGTAAAATCACACTTGGAAGAACCTATGGGATTCTGAAGACTGGGTTGAGGACATAAGGACAGATTCTGTTGAAGAGGGGGCTCAAACACTTAAATTTCACCAAGTCCTATTTTTTATATTAAAATAGAAGTTGACCAGTGTTTTATATTTGCTGTAAGTATATATGGCAGAAGGTTAAAAATCTGCTTTTCTTATTTTTATACCTCTGTTGGTGTGGATTTTTATATATATTAATAACAGTGCTTTCAGCTATAATTCACTATTCTGAGTCTTGTTTCTATTTTCTTAAGACCTGATAGAGAAAAGAGCAGTTTATAAACTATTTTATTTTCTTCCCCACTCTTCTCACTAATTTGTGTTTATTTGGGAAAATACAATTATTTTAATTTAAATGTTTATATTAATATAAAGGATTTATTATTTTGAATTAATATATATTGCAAAGCCTCACTTCTAATTTCCTATAAAGTATATATCATTAATTATCTTCTGCATAAACAAAATCTCTTTAGTGTCCTCAGTGATTTTATTTTATTTTTTTTTTACTTTGTCCAGATGAATCATTTATTTTTTTAATTTTATTTTTATATTCCCCATACAATTGCAACCCCCTTATTTTGAACCCAATCCTTCCCCTCCCCCCCACCCCCATAGAGTGTCTCTGGTTCATAGTTGTTTGTTGATTTTGATTTTCACTTTCTTATAGTTATTCATTTTCCTGGTCCCTCCATTTAATTTTTCTAGAGTCCTGCTATGAGTGAGACCATCTGGTATTTTGCTTTTTCTTTCTGGCTTATTTCGCTGAGCATGATCCCTTCCAGCTCCATCCATGTTGCTGCAAATTGCATGTGTTTATCTTTTTTGATTGCTGAGTAATATTCCATGGTGTATATGTACCACATCTTCTTGATCCAGTCATCTATTTTGGGGCATTTGGGCTGTTTCCAAAGCTTAGCTATTGTAAATAGTGCTGTTATAAAAATAGGGGTGCAGGTGCTGTTTGGAATTGAGGTTTCTGTGTCCTTTGGGTAAATACCTAGGAGTGGAATTGCTGGATCATATGGAAGCTCTATGTTTAGTAGGTCCAGAAATCTCCACACAGCTCTCCATAGTGATTGGACCAGTTTGCACTCCCACCAACAGTGCAGGAGAGTTCCTTTTCTCCACATCCTCGCCAACATTTGTTGTTGCTAGTTTTTTTAATATGTGCCATTCTCACTGGTGTAAGATGGTATCTCATGGTAGTTTTGATTTGCATTTCCCTGATTGCAAGTGATGTTGAACATTTTTTCATATGCCTGTTGGCCATTTGCATTTCCTCTTCAGAGAAGTTTCTTTTTAGCTCTTCTGCCCATTTTTTGACTGGATTATTTTCTTTGTTGTTGTTGAGTCTCGTCAGCTCTTTGCAGATTTTTGTGATCAGTCCTTTATCATTAGTGTTGGGTGCAAAAATGTTCTCCCAGTTGGTGGGGTTTCTCTTTGTTTTTGTTATTGTCTCTTTTGCTGTGCAGAAGCTCTTTAATTTGATGTAATCCCAGCTGTTTATCTTTGCCTTCACCATCACTGCTTTGGGTGATGTGTCTGTAAAGATGTCTTTGATGTTCATACCACGTTGTGTTTCGCCTATATTTCCTTCTATGTATTTTATGGTTTCAGGTCTTATGTCTAGTTCTTTAATCCATTTTGAGTTGATATTTGTGTATGGTGTGAGGTAGTGGTCAAGCTTCATTCTTTTGCATGTAGCAACCCAGTTTTCCCAGCACCATTTATTGAACAAACTTTCTTTGCTCCAATGCATAGTCTTTGCTCCTTTGTCAAAGATTAGTTGACCATAAATCTATGGGTTTATTTCTGGATTTTCTATTCAATTCCATTGGTCTGTGTGTCTGTTCTTGTTCCAGTACCATGAAGTTTTGATGATTGTGGCTTTGTAGTATAGTTTGAAGTCTGGGAGTGTGATGCCTGCATTCCTTTCTTTTTTTTTTTTTCAGGAGAGCTTTGGCTATTCGGGGTTTTTTGTGATTCCATATGAATTTCATCAATAATTGTTCTATTTCTTTGAAGAATGACATTGAAATTTTGATTGGAATAGCATTGAATCTGTATATTGCTTTTGGTAGGATGGCCATTTTAATAATGTTTATTCTTCCAATCCATGAGCAGGGGATGTCTTTCCATTTCTTTGTGTCTTCTTTTATTTCTTTTAACAGTGTTTTATAGTTTTCTTTGTATAGGTGTTTTACCTCTTTTGTTAGATTTATTCCCAAGTATTTGATTTTATTTTGTTTTGATAATAAAAGGGATTTTTTTATTGCTTCTTCTTCAGATTTATTGTTTGTGTATAGGAAGGCTACTGACTTTTGTGTGTTGATTTTGTATCCTGCCACTTTACTGAACTGATTGATGAGTTGAATTAGTTTTTCTGTGGAGTTTTTTGGGTTCTCTATGTATATTATCATATCATCTGCAAATAGTGATAATTTGACTTCTTCTTTTCCTATTTGGATTCCTTGGATGTCTTTCTCTTGTCTTATTGCTCTGGCTAGGACTTCCAGTATTATATTGAAAAGCAGTGGTGAGAGTGGACATCCTTGTCTTGTTCCAGATCTTAATGGGAATGCTTTCAGCTTTTCACCTTTGAGAATGATACTGGCTGTTGGCTTGTCATATGTGGCCTTTATGATGTTAAGGTATGTTCTTTGTATCCCAAGAATTTCAAGAGTTTTTATCATGAATGGGTGTTGCACTTTGTAGAAAGCTTTCTCAGTATCTATTGATATTATCATAAGTTTTTTTTTATATTTCTTTTTGTTGATGTGTTGGATAACATTGATTAATTTTCGGATGTTGAACCATCCTTGTGTCCCTGGAATGAATCCTACTTGGTCATGGTGGATTATCTTATGGATACATTGTTGAATTCTGATAGCTAAAATTTTATTGAGGATTTTTGCATCAGTGTTCATTAGGGATATTGGCCTGTAGTTTTCCTTTATTGTGTTGTCCTTGTTTGGTTTTGGTATTAGTGTAATTTTGGCTTCATAGAATGTGTTTGGTATTGTCCCTTCCTTCTCAAATTTTTGGAAGAGTTTGTGAAGGGTAGGCACTAATTCGTCTCTGAATGTTTGGTAGAATTCATTTGTAAATCCATCAGGTCCTGGGCTTTTGTTTTTGGGGAGGTTTTTGATTACCATTTCAATTTTGCTGCTTGTAATTGGTCTGTTTAGGTGTTCTATTTCTTCTTTATCAAGCTTTGGGTGATTGTAGAGTTGTAGGAATTTGTCCATCTCCCCTAGATTGTTGAACTTGTTTCCATATAACCGTTCATAGTAGTTACTGATTATTCTTTTGATTTCTGCTGTGTCCATTGTGATTTCTCCTCTTTCATTTATGATCCTGTTTATTTGTGCTTTCTCCCTTTTTTTTCCTTTGTGAGCCTGGCTAGGGATTTGTCTATTTTATCGATTTTTTCGAAGAACCAGCTCTTGGTTTCATTGATCTTTTGGATTGTTTTCTTAGTTTCAAATTCATTTATTTCTGCTTTGGTTTTTATTATTTCTTTTCTTCTACTGGTTTTGGGTTTTTTTGTTGTTCTTTTTCTAGATCTTTGAGCTTTGAGATTAGGTTGTTTCTTTCAGTTCTTTCTTGTTTCTTGATGTGAGCCTCTATCGCTATATATTTTCCTCTTATTACTGCTTTTGCTGCATCCCATACATTTAGGAAATTGCTGTCCTCCTTGTCATTCAATTCAAAGAATTTTTTAATTTCTTCTTTGATCTCCTTATTAGTCCAGTGGTCTTCCAGTAGTGTGGTTTACATTGCTTCATTGTTGAGTGGGTCTGTGTCTTGGAGCTGTGACCTCCCTCATGTTCCTTAAGTGGTATAACTTCCTCCTTACCCCTTCTGCTCCCTTCATTGGCTACAGATTTCCCAGTTTATTTCCTTAACTTCCTAATTTTACTTAAATGTGTCCCAAATTATACTTCTGTTGAGACAGGAATGCTAAAATACAGTGGGGTATGGTAATGTCAGGTCTTTATCCCAGCAGAGGTAAGACATAAGTCTTCATAATTTGTATCTTAGTTATGAAAACTAGTCTGGGTATATTTCACAGTATCCATTATTCTGGTCCTGCCAGTATTTTGAATTCATTGCTTTTGATGTTCCCTACAACTTCCAAGTTCCTTAAATTTTCTTTAAGTACAGATAATATTTTATTTATATTTTATATCATTTTCATATTTGTACAATGCAAGTCTGTATGCTCTTTCCTCTCAGGTGTAGTCCCAATAAAATTTCCACCAAGTCACTGGTGAACCATCA